TTCCCTCCTAAGCATCCTCTGAGGGGAGCTGGGAGATGAAAACTGATGGAATCAATTCCTGTTTTCTTCCTGCAACCACTCCCCAAAAGGAGATATTTACACATTTATTTATTTATTTACATATTTACCCCCAAACCCGTGCAATTCCCACACCAAGCTGAGACACAGCTTCACTCCTGGAAGGTTCTTTTGGTGACAAAATTTAATTTCTCACTCTCACTTGGGTGCAGTAACACACAAACACAGTTAATGCCCCGTGCAAAGTCCCACTCCTGCCCCAGTGCAGCCTTTCCCCACCTGTGCAGGTGAGGCTGGATCTGGAGCAGGGAGTCACAGCTCCCTGGGTTTTTAAAATTCAGAACACACATCAGTAGATAATTAAAAAGAACCCGATTTAACTCCCATTTCAGCTGCCAAGTTTCCCACAGACATCATTTCATCCCACCCTAAAAACTTCACAACTTTCAATCAGGGAAGAATAAATTCCATAGAAATATGATGCCAGTGGGGACATCCTTAAAAACACATTATTTCTCATTAGAAAAAAATAAATCAGGTCTTTCCTTACAAAATACCGTTTTCTTTTATAAACGTTTTGATTCGTTTTTGCAATAAATAGTTCATCAAAGTTAAATTAATTAGTGTTATATAAAAATAGGACATTTGCTTTTTAAGGTCAAAATCAGTGCCAGAGTTGCTACAACTCCTCAGGGAGCCCCAACCAACACTGGCCAAAGCTATGGATCATTTCATTCCTCATTTACAGCCAAGTTTCTTGTACTTAAAAAAAAGAAAATGATTCTGTCCAAAGTGTGTGGGCACGTGTTTGTCTGTGGGTTTTTCCTGCTGGAGAAGGCAGAAATGGATAAACCCAGAAGTGCACTGGCTTCCTTTCCCAAGGAAGGACGAGGAGGATGTTCAGGCTTTTCCCGAGGCTGCTCCCACTCCTGAGTTGGGCTCTCCTTGTGCAGAGTCCTCAGGGTGCTCTGGGGCCCCGCTGGGCTCTTCCCCACTCCCTTCCCCGAGGCTTTGGGATTCCTGGGAAATCACTGTCAGCCTGTCATAAACCAGGAGCTCTTCTTGAGGAAGTGCAGGGAAAGGCTGGGAAGCACTGGGAGGTTTGCTCAGAAACTGGGAAAGAAAGAGGAAGGGAGGATTAGGTCTCTCCAGCTGTTCCATCCTGTCTGCTCACAAATACAAATTTATTAAACAACACTGGGATTGTTTTGCACACATCAAGTGGCTTTCTCAGGCCTTCCACGTCCCACAGTGTCACATCCTCCCTAATATCCTGTTCCAGGCTTGGGAGCAAGATGGAAATGCCTTTCAAGAATAACCCCAGGATTCAGAGCCTTGTTTGGAACAGAAACTTGAAAAAAATCAAACCATTTCGATTGGGAACAAACATTAAATGGTAACTGGGTGTAGGGGAAAGAGTTCACAGAGAGATTTGTAAAACCCCTCCCCTCTGGCAGTGGGAGCCATTCCGTGTGTGCTGTCCCTCCATCCTTTGTCCCTCCCCAGCTCTCCTGGAGCCCCTTCAGGCCCTGCAAGGCCACCCTGAGCAATCCCAGCCTCTTTTCCCAGAGCTGCTCCACCCCTCTGCTCATCCTGGTGCCCTCAGATGAAACAATTCTCAACTGAATTTGGAATAAGAAACCAGCTGCTGTGTCAGGAGTGCTG